ATTGGTGCATATAGAAATTATTTTGGAAAAGAATGTCACTATATTATTTCATACATACAAAATAAACTAAGCATCTGTTAAATTCCAATTATTATTAGCATTCACAAACAACAGTGTTACTACAGCCAAGATAGCAACAAAATATATAAATCACAGACAAAATATATAAATCACAGACACAGCTGATTGAGCTGAATGCTTATAAATGGAACAACTACTGAACTTAGTGAACTACAGTACATACAAGTATACAACTGTAAAATATCAGTAAAAAGTTGTAAAAACAGATTAAGTCATTAACTATATTCTGAATTCACATGACAATTGCTAATGTAACCCCCTGCACACTTCTTCTGACTATCAGACAAATAGCAAAAAATAGCATGAATGTGTTATTGTTAAAGGCACAGTTCAGCCTGTTGAGCGATGGTTTTTAAGGCACATTTCAGCCCTGTTAATTGAAAAAACTAACTAGGAAAATCAATTAAGCATAATTCAAAATCAGTAAACTCGATGTTTTTAACAATATGAATGTTTTAAAATGTTAAAAACATTAAGATTGGTGATTTTGAATTATGCTTAATTGATTTTCCTAGTTAGCTTTTTCAATTAACAGGGCTGAAATGCGCCTTAAAAACCATCGTTCAACAGGCTTGCCTTTAAGTTTTTAATAGTCAAAAGATTCACACCGTACCTTAAGATAGAAAACTTTTGCCGTTTGTCAACCAAATTCTTTGTCAAGCAAAGTTTCTTCCTTTCCACAAAAGATCCACGATATTTTACACAAATTTACAGGTATATTAAAGCTAAACTAGCCAAGCAGGCTAAGCCCATAAACCAAAATATGGCAAAATATTTACAATTCCCGCTCATATGAAAACAATTTTGTTGAAAAAAAAGAAAAAGAAACTGCAAATCTCTCCCAGATTTACCTCTTCCCATAGGCAAACTTGAAAATAAAAATAATTCAACAAAAATCAGCGAGATTTCAAACAATATCCTTGATTTCGAAACAATTTTTTGCGATCTTTTTAGTAAAAAATGCCCGCCATTTTGTAAGTTTTCGGGGGGGTGAATGCCTCTCCTTAGCGCACTGGCTAAGCTTTTGGTTACACTCAAACATTAGCGTTTCGTAATACAGTTCCACCTCTGTCCAGTATCTACTCTGTGTCTCAAAGCAAAAATACAGAATTGCAAAAATACGACGTACGCTGTGTTTATTTTTTCCGTATTTTGCAAGTTTTTCCTTCATTACATTTCAAACGTAATTTAAAAGGTAAGTAAGATTAGAATACTATTTGTTTAGCTTTATATTAAAGTGATTTTTTTCCTTTTACCTATCGAAAAAATTCAAAAACTATTTCACGACGTGAAGCTTTATATTTGTTTTTATTTTTTATTGAAAAACAAGAATAAATCCTTGTGTCAAGTTTACAGAAGAAGCGATATGTAGTTCATTGTGCTCAAAAAGCTTTATTTATACGGTAAGCTCTCGCTTTGGTTATTTATATAGTATTAAAGAATAATTAAACTTTTACAAGATACAGTATGCATTGTTTATAAAAACAGGAATGTAAAAAATCTCTATTTGCAAATATAAAACACTGCGTAAAGTTGCATATATTTCGTGTATGCATTCAATAAAAACAACGTTTAGGCCTAAAAGTTCTTGACAAAAGCAAGTTTTAAAATAAAGTGTTGCATATAAAATTAGTCAGGCCATTTAAATGGCCTGACTGGCTATATTAAAATGGCAAAACAGGAAAGCAAAGCATGTTTTTTTGCTGTCTACGGGCCAAAACAAGACTTAATAGCTTACGTCATAATATGAGCGTACGTCGAAGGTCAGCTCGCAGTATAAAAACTACACAAAGTCGTATAGGCCAACACAGTTCAAAACTCACCGGCATAACATGAAAATCATCATGAATTCCCGTGGTTATAGATTTGTTTCCATGTAGATTCATTGAGCAATCCACGATTATTAAACTCCACAATATTGCTGCAAATGTGCATATAAATATTCCACAAACACCATTCAATAGCCGCGGAAAACCAGTCAAACTATCCTGAATCATATCCCTTTATAATGAATTTTGAATCTTGGTGCGAGACCTGCAAAAAAGAAACAAGAAAAAGGCTTATACAAAATAATCAAACGTTTTCAGTACTACAGATAGTTATCGAAAACAGACAACAGGTCATCAAATTCAAAGTCGAAAAGTTTTGTTTTTTTCACATAAAATGTTGAAATTCAACATGTTCTACTACAAAATGTGTCTTTTATTACTTTAAAAAGAACTTCTTACCAGAAAACAGAGCCTTCCAATGCCAAAAACGGATGAAAAAACGTGTTAAAAAGTAGAAAAACACTTTTTATCTTTCGGTTTATTAATTAAACTGACCAATGACCATGCCGTCGAACTATTAACAGGTTTGACAGGAATTGCGATTTCACGTGACCAACGCATGTGTGACGTAATGAGTAACTTCCACTTCGGGCAATAAAAAATGGGAAAACCCCTTAATACGTATGTGACATTCTAATTTTTAGACACCGTCCTGGTTTTGTCCTGGTATTCCTAATGGACGTTCTTGAAGTTAATGCAACTCATTTGTTTTGGTAGGTATCTCCTGATTCTTCTGTATATTTCTCTCCAAGACCATGTAAATTTTAATACTTAACAAAATCAGTTGATTTTCCTCCAGGATACTTAAAAACTACGAATACATCGAAGGAGCTTCAGTAACAGCGTCTTCAGTACTAGATTTAGCATTGGATGCTGGATTAAGCATTGGCTCGCTGACATTGGGTCACTGCCGGTACGCAAGATTTGGAAAACGAAAGTAAAGAGCCACAGACGCGATTCACCTACAAAGTTATACCGGGTGGCCCAAAAAAAAGTACTCCTGTTTGATTCGTAATAACATCTAAATAAGTATAGCTTTTAAAGAGAAATAACTTGCATCAAATAGAGGAAGGACTAACTTAGACTTTGATATATTACAGTTGTATTTCACTTAAAAATTCACGGAGATATTAATCTTTAAATTCGGGAGGATATTTCTGGATGTGTCTGAAATATGCAAAAATCGGCGTATCAAATAATAATCAAGATTTGCCCGACTGAAACATGCACTATTACCAGTAAATAAATGACACTTGACAAATTGTTTATTATGAAACAAAGTATTATTATATCTACAAAATACAAGCAAGATTCATTCGTCCGAAATTCGCGTGTGTTCCTAGCACGAATACGTTTCCTTATTTCATGAGACCACTGCATCGCGAAGGATCGTCATTGGATCGTTCGTAGTTCTGAATTAGGGCATGCTGTCACAACGGAATTGTGAAGCTCTTCTAACTTCTGCAACGTTCTGAAATCTTGTTAAGAACACCCAAACTCTTTTTCCGTTTCTTAATCTTGACAAGTTCATGGAGTAAACTGAGAATTATATGAAACACAATCAAACCATACAACTCCATAAGACATAACAATTAAGCAACTCCCCAGAGACATGCAACATTTTTGGAACAAAACGTAACAAAATAGTAGCGTTGATACGGTGATGTGTATTTGCAAAAAGCAATATTATTTCCTTCAATAAAGAATATTCATCCTGCTCTAACCGAGAAATAATCTACTCAGTCTGTTTGAACCCATTAAAAACATAAAAAAATTAGGCTATTTAAGAATACGAAAAATTTAAGCGCCTGCCTTCCATGGTCAGTCTTTCATGTACATTTAAGTTTGCAAAGACCTAATATTAAATACTTGCATAATTTCGAACGTTCATATTTCAGGGAACAATGAGCTAAGACTTACATGTAAGATGTCTAAATCTACGCCATATCCCTTACAAACCTTAACGATAATTCGCTGAAATACAAGTTAGCCTAATATGTCATTAAGCAAACAAACGCTGGAGTTAATATTTGATATGCCGATTTTCGCTAATTTTAGACACATTCCAAAATATGCTCCCCATTTTTAACATTAATATATCCGTGAATTTTTAAGTTGAATACAACTGTAATATATCAAAATCTAAGTTAGTCCTTCCTCTATTTAATGCAAGTTATTTCTCTTTAAAAACTTTACTTGTTTAGAAGTTATTACGAATCAAACAGGAGTACTTTTTTTTGGGCCACCCGGTAGTATTACGATAATATTGCATTACGTTCCCATGATTGGGAGCCGATCACAGAACTTAACAACACAACTTTGGAAAAAATTATCGTAGTATGTCTAAAACATCATGGTTGGTTTGTTGCGTCTAGTAGTTTTGACGATCAACGAGTTGTGTTAATGAAAGAGCAAACGAACGACTTACGAGTAGACACTCGACGCTTAATATTTCAAATTATTGTGCAGTTGGGTTCAGAGGAAGACATCAAGTTCAGCACATATGGACAAGAGTTATCGATGAGCCACAGCTATACACTCAACGAGACCCATGTCTCTTGTTCAGCTATTGATGTTGTGATTAGTTTCGTTGAGACAGCGACACCATGCTTGGGACAGCCATTGCCAGCAAATACCAACGAGTTCCTTAAAGTTCCTGTCTCTAATTCTAAAGTGATTTCTCTCGCCATACCTGCAGCTGGAACAATGCAGAATGAGACGCGACTTGTATCTCTCGCTTGTACTTTTCTATCGCACTCTTGTCCCAATCCTATTACCAATGTTATTACGTGTCACGAATGCTCTTCCGTATACAGGTTATTTAGAAAGAGATCGAGAGTGCAAGAGAGAGAAGGCTATGGGATCCCAGGTATATAATTTTCAATTGTAATGTGTCTTAATTTACAGTCCAATTGTTGAAAAAGCAACAAGTATATTGCATTTAGCCGTTGTCTGTTCAGTAATAGATGTACAGATGACGTTAATTAGAACGTGGTAAGAACAAAAATTGATCACGGCTCTCGACCAATAAAAACGCGTAAAGTATTTGAATTATTATATAGTAACATATTGTTTTCACAATATATATGTAGAAACCACCGCATATCAAATGCAATCAAATCAAATTGTCCAGAAAGGGCTTGGAAGTGAAGGTGGATAATCAGAAGGAAAAAATGAAGAAGGAATTGAAACGACTGAGAGAAGAATCAGAAGATGGTATAGAGTTCGTAGATGAAGATCATGCAGATCTGGTGGAAATTGTTAGCACAACCGAGACAAAAGACATGCCACCGGAGATGAAGTTGTTATGGGAAATTCAAATGAAATGCAAATAAAAAGCCTGAAATGCAAATAAAAAAAGAATGTTCTAAAGCTTTCACTAAGTATGAACTAGCTATGTATAAATTTTTGATTACATATTGCACATCACAAAACTACAAATTAGGAACAATATAACATACATTTTTTAAACTTATTCTTTGCTTTAGCCAAAAATTTGATTTTGAAGGGGCCATTTTTGGAACACCCTGAACTACTAAACAGGCTAGGCTTAGGTAGTTTTTATCATACTGATCAATTTCATCTAATGATTTAGTTGCTGTAAAAGCTATATCAATAAAGGTCATGGTGATTGTTTTAACTCACCTTGTCCCCATCCAGTTTCAGATCAAACAAAGCAACAAATTCATTTTGGATACTTTTGTTTCCCAGAACGCTCTTGATAGATCGATCAACCACTTGATCTTTCAACAACGACAATCTTTCCAAACTGATTAGATTTACTCGTTCTTGTTCCAATGTCAAGAAGAATTGAAATGCCTCATCTGTTATGTGTAGCAATCCTCTTTCTCGGTATTGTCGAGACTCGGTAATATTGAGAGTATTAGCATCTGATGTTGTTTTTTCCAGGACAACGTATGGGATAATAATGTTGCTGTCGAGTAGGTCGATCTTTCTCAATTCGTTGTTCAATTTCTCGCGAACGTTGGAAGCTTGTGATTTCTTGTTTGCCATAAGGTATCTCCTAGAATTAGCCAGAGACTTATGGATTGCCCATCCGCCCACATAACGTAATTTGCCGAGACCATTCACTCCCATTTCCCTTACGTTAAACTCTGTTGTCGGCACATCTTCATGCTTTAGGGTTCTCTCAACTTCGGTAATAAACAGCTGGTAGAGGTGAAACGTTAGCTGAACACCGAGAGTTCTTTTGCCATCGTCAATGTCCGTCCATTTTCTGAGCTGGAAAGCTGTTAATAGATCACTTTGATATTCGTTCGACGAGAACATCTTATGGACTTGAGTTGTAGCAAATGTAAACTCTTTGTTGGCTATTGATGTGTGATTTTGAAACAAAATTGCTATTCGAACCCATGTTATGTTTGCCAAAAGCTGGAATGCTTGTAGATGGTCGGTTGCATATCTCGTCGCGGAATTTATTGATTGACTGAAGGGGTCGTCCAAGTCGGTGGTGGCTGATTTTAGGAACGATTCCATGCTAAACGTCGAAGGCGGAGCTGCTATGTGCGAGGGTGGTAGTAAACACAACAAAGTGTTCTCAAGTTTAACCGTAATTGCTTCGTCTGATTGACAAAAACTTTGACTTTGTAGAGCAGCATCGAGATCGAGGTTTTCGTCGTCATCAAAAACTTTATCTGTTTCAGCCATGGATTGAACGGTTGAGGTACATATATTATCTTCAAAGAAGCTATCGTCCAAAGGATGGTTTCTACAACATGAAAGTGTTTCATCGGGATCTACGCAAAATGTTACCATGCTTGATAACTCAACTGGTGGTGGTAGTAAAAACTTTCGTTGAAACCCAAGTATTTGAAGATTATCTTCTGATCGAACTCTGGATATGGCTACGTATGTCTGGCCAGGTACAAATTCTTGCGCGCAATGGACGACAATAGAATGCAATGTTAAACTTTGCGATTTATGGACGGTTATTGCGTAGCATAATGTTATTGAAAATTGAGTACGGGAGCCTTGGACTCTTCTATCAACATCATAGTTGTACCATGTTCTACGAGTTATTGGTATGGTGCCGACTTTCGCAAAGTGTACGAGCAGTACATTGTCATCAGTCGGATCTTTTCCAATATAGCTTCCCTGGTAGCCATTTTTCAACTGATCGTTGATATTGTAAATAAGCATAATGTTACATCCAGGTTTTAATGATACTGTTTGAGGCACCGTTTTCTCTAAGCAGTGTGTGTTTTCATGGTCGATACTCTCTACCGTGTCCAATAGACCAGGTAGAGTTGCCAGCACATTTCCATTATGAATTTCCACGTGAAGTTTTTTAAAATATATATGTATGGGTATGGGGATTGTTCCAGCTTCCTCTTGAATGCATTCTCGCTCAAGGCTGTGCACGTATTCTTCTGCTTCCTCACTGCACTCACCATTTCGCAATAAATCCAGTAAATTCTTCAAACGGCTCTCTGATTCTCCCTGTCGTAAAACTTTGGTCAGCTCAATCCGATGTTGAAATACTTTATCAAAAAGCTCTGACAAATAGATGGACTTTCCTTCGTCGAAGGGACTAGGTATCGGTTTCAGCTGCCAGAAGTCTCCAACAAGAATTACTTGAATTCCCCCAAATGCAAAACTGTTTTGGGCTACCATGTGATGTATTTTGTTAACAAGTTCCAAAATTCGGGTACTTGACATGGATACTTCATCCCAAATTAATACCGTTGTGTCAGCAACTTGCTTTACCGTAACATTCTGCCCCAAAGAACGTTCGATCAGTAATTGAGAAGGTAGTTCAGCAACCCTTAGTCCATACTGCGAATGAACAGTCTTCGCTATTCCTCCATAGCTCTCGCAGGCTATGCCAGTCGAGCAAATTATCTGGACTTTTTCACCTTTGGCTGCAAGTGCTTCCTTTATTGCCAGGACAGTTGTAGATTTTCCAACACCGGCTCTTCCAAAAATACAAATATTGTGCCCTTGTTTTGCCAAGTTTACGATCCTCTGTTGTTCTTGAGTCAGATGTAAAATGCGTTCCATAATGTGAACCGCGGAATCCTAGGGATGGTACCTATAAATAATGAGATCATGTAGCTTCAGATAAAAAAACTGTTGCATAAAAAATATATATATATATATATATATATATATATATATATATATATATATATATATATATATATATATATATATATATTGTTATTAATTAGGTCAAGTTGATTAGTCGCATGCTTACATATTAGATATACTCATTTTTTTATATGCATAATTAAAATTTACATGATCTTGGAGAGAAATATACAGAAGAATCAGGAGATACCTACCAAAACAAATGAGTTGCATTAATTTCAAGAACGTCCATGAGGAATACCAGGACAAAACCAGGACGGTGTCTAAAAATTAGAATGTCACATACGTATTAAGGGGTTTTCCCATTTTTTATTGCCCGAAGTGGAAGTTACTCATTACGTCACACATGCGTTGGTCACGTGAAATCGCAATTCCTGTCAAACCTGTTAATAGTTCGACGGCATGGTCATTGGTCAGTTTAATTAATAAACCGAAAGATAAAAAGTGTTTTTCTACTTTTTAACACGTTTTTTCATCCGTTTTTGGCATTGAAAGGCTCTGTTTTCTGGTAAGAAGTTCTTTTTAAAGTAATAAAAGACACATTTTGTAGTAGAACATGTTGGATTTCAACATTTTATGTGAAAAAACAAAACTTTTCGACTTTGAATTTGACGACCTGTTGTCTGTTTTCGATAACTATCTGTAGTACTGAAAACGTTTGATTATTTCGGTATAAGCCTTTTTCTTGTTTCTTTTTTGCAGGTCTCGCACCAAGATTCAAAATTCATTATAAAGGGATATGATTCAGGATAGTTTGACTGGTTTTTCGCGGCTATTGAATGGTGTTTGTGGAATATTTATATGCACATTTGCAGCAATATTGTGGAGTTTAATAATCGTGGATTGCTCAATGAATCTACATGGAAACAAATCTATAACCACGGCAATTCATGATGATTTTCATGTTATGTCGGTGAGTTTTGAACTGTGTTGGCCTGTACGACTTTGTATAGTTGTTATACTGCGGGCTGACCTTCGACGTACGCTCATATTATGACGTAAGCTATTAAGTCTTGTTTTGGCCCGTAGACAGCAAAAAAACATGCTTTGCTTTCCTGTTTTGCCATTTTAATATAGCCAGTCAGGCCATTTAAATGGCCTGAATAATTTTATATGCAACACTTTATTTTAAAACTTGCTTTTGTCAAGAACTTTTAGGCCTAAACGCTTTCGACGTACGCTCATATTATGACGTAAGCTATTAAGTCTTCTTTTGGCCCGTAGACAGCAAAAAACATGCTTTGCTTTCCTGTTTTGCCATTTTAATATAGACAGTCAGGCCATTTAAATGGCTTGAATAATTTTATATGCAACACTTTATTTAGTTAAAACTTGCTTTTGTCAAGAACTTTTAGGCCTAAACGTTGTTTTTATTGAATGCATGCACGAAATATATGCAACTTTACGCAGTGTTTTATATTTGCAAATAGCGATTTTTTATATTCCTGTTTTTATAAACAATGCATACTGTAGCTTGTAAAAGTTTTTAAAATATTTTTTAATACTATAAATAACCAAAGCGAGAGCTTACCGTATAAATAAAGCTTTTTGAGCACAATGAACTACATATCGCTTCTTCTGTAAACTTGACACAAGGATTTATTCTTGTTTTTCAATAAAAAATAAAAACAAATATAAAGCTTCACGTCGTGAAATAGTTTTTGAATTTTTTCGGTAGGTAAAAGGAAAAAAATCACTTTAATATAAAGCTAAACAAATGGTATTCTAATCTTACTTACCTTTTAAATTACGTTTGAAATGTAATGAAGGAAAAACTTGCAAACTACGGAAAAATAAACACCGCGTACGTCGTATTTTTGCAATTCTGTAGTTTGCTTTGAGATGAATAATTTGCAAAAATACTCAAAAACCAATGTCTTGCCCCCCCGGTTTCTCCTTTCCACAAGACGAAATGACATCATTTTTGCTAAACTTTTAGCCAATAGGGGAAGACTTAAAATTAAAAAAGATGACGAATTGGCTGGATGAGTGACCCCTGGATGGGTTTTGAAAAACAAGCCCCAAAACCCAAAAAAAGCCCCAAAACTCTCGCTTTTTTCACATGCTTCGGGAAGGATTTAAAACGGAAAATTTGTAAGAATGTAGTAAAATTATCCGTGTTTAATATGCTGTAGTTTTTGTTTTATTATTGGTATTTGTTTACGAGATATTTGTGGGTTTTTAAAGTGCTTGCGTTAACGGCCGATGATTTGTTTATATTTTGTTCGCTGAGTTGCCTACCTTGAGAATATATTAAACTGATACGACTATACAAACGTCACGCGAGATTGACATGGCCAGAAATCACGGACATTTTCATTTCTCAGGTTTCACGTTACCACGAGCACCGACGCAACAATGGCTGCGCAATGTCCTATGTTTATTATCAGGCGAGCACAGTATTTTCAATATAGCATGCTATATATAAATCTTTGAATATTTGTTGAAATTGGTTCCAGAAGTAGCGGTCGTATAGTAACACATTAAGAAAAAATGTTCTCATTTCTTTGCTCACTCGCTCTGCTTTTTGCGATTGAATATTACAACATTTTACCTCATTTTACATAGGAATCTATAAAGTTTCTCGCTCAAAAGGCTATATCTCGTAATATATTCAATTATCGAAATTTGTTGAAATCATTTTATTTTGACGAATAGTATAGCCTTGCCTTCCGCCGTTTATTATTTTGTTACACACGATAAAAGCTCTGCTTTTTTGTTTTGAAATTCGCAAGCCGGTGCGTTAATATGCATATTATAATATTACTTCGCGGTCGAAAAGTGATATTCCATTCGCTTGCCAAACTCGAAATATTGATTGCCTTGCTAAATGTTTGGTACCAAAATACTCGTCGAAAGCTTCTCTTTTCGCTACCGTAGTCATTGCTTAGCTACACCATGAACCTGGTAAACTAAAGGCCACAACTTCAGTGCGTACTTCATGCTTTGCTTTATAAACAACACCCACGCGAATATTTGAAATTCCGGATGCTTTGATAGGTCATAAAACGGTAATTAGGAATTCTTGTGGATAAACGGAAAAGCCGCTGACCGACTGGTACGCTTACACAATGCCCGTCATTTCTGGCCATGAGCTGTCTTTTCGCCGACCTGATGCACTTCATTTTTCGAAATGTTGACACTGAGCTTGTCCGACTAAACTTTCCGGTTTTATTCCGTTTCAAATTATCTTTATGCCATGTTGAATCATCCTCATCCTGCTCGTTTTCTCCTGCAACCAACTTTGTAATTGAAAATGCAAAGATGGGTGCAAGAAATCCCAATATCGAAAAACCATCGTATAGACTATCGCGATCATTTTCGCCGAACTTGTTTACCGATGATATTTGGCGCACGGAAACTTTAAAAGTCGACTTATCAATAGATGGATTTTTCTCTCTTTTGTAGCCAAGGTTTGTACGGTGTTTAAAATTACAAAGGGCATCAATGCTTGCAGAAATAGGACGTAAAAGTCGTAAAAAGCGATTCATTTTGATATTTGTTTTTTTTAAATTTCCCGCGACGCCATTTAAAACCCACGTGTTGCAAGTCCACGCAAATTACACGCAAGCTTAACACGCGCGAGTACATCGCTTTCTCGAACTTAGTCTTCCTTAAAGAAAAGTGTATCGAGCCACCTTAATCCATAAATCCATAGTAAATATACATATATTCTATACACGCTCTCTAAAAACACTCAGGTTAAAATGCTCCTGCTTAATTAACCTTAGAAATTATGTCCCTACTTGGACTTTATGTTTCATACTTTAATTCGCGCATTTATGCAATGTGATTCACCTTATTACAAACCGCCTACCGCCAATGTAGCCACTGAATAATGCAGGCATTCTTTTTCCGCAGCTTTGTTTTCTGGGTATATGTTAAATAGCAAAGAATAAAACAATTTGGGATAATTTGGCTAGGAGTAACCTTTCTCCTAGCCGATTTATTGAAATTAATAAAACAATAATTAATAATATATATGTATGAAAATATTAACAATTTTGCCCAGAAAAGGGTGGAGGCAGATTATCGCCAAATCATCGAAGCAAAACGGAGATGAAACCCCACCCCAAGGAAAAAGAATGCACGCTCATCCGGCGAGATTTATGGGCCACGAAGGCAAACAAGTAGCTTATATCAGCAAAAAGTAGAAATGTAGCCGCCCTTACAGACTACGGCAGGCGAAATGTTGTCATGCAATGTTACTTTGCCTAAGCCCAAGTTTTTGACGGATACAACATTGCCACACCAGTCCTTCATTGAATTAAACATTGGATTGCCTTGTCTGTCCTTACTAAACAGGCAGATAAAATTGCGAAGTAAAACACCCAGGTCAATTGCACAATACGCACTACGTAAGAGAATATACGACATCGCCCTTGCTGATGACATATCGGTGCAATGCGAGTTATGCAACCAAAGGGCGCTGACAGATTGCATGATTGCCCTTGCTAATCACGCTCAAAATCATGCATGGGAAATTTCAGATAAAATTGAGGATAAAACACCCCGCATGTTTTATGCTCAGAAATCAAGGTGAAATGGGATATGTCGATATAGTAGAAATTCGCAAGTATTTTAGAAACGCGTTCGATTTCCAACGCCCCAACGCACGGATTTGCGCATCAGAATAACCATTTTCTACAGCGTGGGAAGCTGCACCAATCCGAAAAGAATGTGACTATAGAGATTCCCCATTTTAGTATTCCGGGTTTTAGAGATTCCCCATTTTAGTATTCCGGGTTTTAGAGATTCCCCATTTTAGTATTCCGGGTTTTAGCATTCCCCATTCCCCGTTCCCCGTTCCCCGATTCCTTTCCCCGATTCCCCATTCCTTGTTATAGTAATAGCCGTAATAATATGCTTAAAATTTTGAAATGTTAACTTCAGGCCTGCCACATGGTTAT